GTGTACGCAGTGAGCTGCTGTCTTGGCTGGATGAGCGTACACTTAGCTGCTTGCGAGCGGCATCACCCATCACGAGGGATATGGTCGACTCGCAATCAGGTCGGATTTTCAAAAATCTCTACGTACGCACGCCGCTGGACGAAGATGTGCCAAATTGGGAATTTGGAAACGTGGCCGGCTTCTGCCAAAACCTTACGATCACTGTTGATGAGCGGATGTCCACCCACTCGTCCTGGAATGAGGAAGCGAAGAAGACAAGAGAGGGCTCAAGATCTGTGTGGTGGCACGCGAAAGCCTCAGCACTCGATACTCGAGCTTCGAATCGGTTGACGGCACGCCTATCTCGACCCTTTGCCCAGCTGCTGGAGACCGAGCAGACCGCGCACCAACTAGCAAGCAGACAGTGGACTTCGATATTTGCTCAATGCCCTGACCTTCGCCGCCTGACTATTCGTGTCAAGGGCGATCCGCAGTGGCCAGGTCGGACAGAAGTAGAAGACACTCTGATAACCATCCGCCAAGTTCTGGAGCAGATAACTCTACCCAATCTCCACGAGATCCTCTTCAACCCCATTCAAATCAACGGCATAATCCACCTCCGCTGGTCTGGTCTAGGATCCTTCAGCGCCACCCCTTCACTGCCTCCACTACCAACCACCAGACCCTTCTGGCAGAACCTGCAAATCCTTTCTATCCACCTCGTCAACCCCTTCATACCCGTATCTCCTATCACTTCTGCGCAAACGCTCATGTTCAAGAAGATCCTCTACGACCACCTCCGGTCCTTCACGCCCACCCTCCGCACCCTCCGCTTCGTCTGGCTAGATGTTGAGGGACCCTCACCAATGACGCTGCATCTCGAAGAAGGCCTAGCATATGGAGAGCGGGAACCACTGCGCTGGCAGGCTCTGGAGGAGCTCTGGCTAGGCAATATCATGCACCCTCAGCGGACTTTCGACAACGTCACTTCCTATGCGCCGAGACTGAAAAGGTTCATGGTGCTGCGGAATACATCACGCAACTCCCGTCCGGATTATGATTTTGAGAAGCAGGTGGCGGAGATTTGGTTTGATTACCTGCCGCAGATTGTCAAAGAGCAGTCAGGTAAGTCTACTCGATTGTCAGCAACGAAGGATGACCAGAGCAGTATCTACAGCCGTAACGGGAACATCAGCGCCCTGTCTTCTCTACCGTGGTTGAGCGGCAGAGTTGCTGACTCCAGCGTCGCAGACTTGGAGCCAATAAGCGACACAATGAAAGCGAGCAAGAAGAGCAGAAAGGTCGCCAAAGCTGATCTCGACCCTGCAAAACCCGAGTCGAGGCAGAAAGTGGGCAGAACGAGTACCCCAAGCAAAGAGCTCGTCAACCCAAATTCCAGTACCAACGTGAGCAGAACGAGCAGGATAGGTGTCACGGACTCGGAACTAGGCGACGTAAGCAGAACAAGCAGAGATGTGACCATCATGCTCGACACGGCCTCCATCCCAGCCCAAGCAATGCAGCGCATGCGAGAGAGGATGCAACGAAGAGGCCAACTAAACGAACAGGTTTTTGAGGGTCGAGGAGAATAGGTTTCGTATTCGTTTCACAGGGTTATTTTGAATGTACGTAGGGTATCTCTACTGTTACCAGGAGTTTCTCCATCAGGCTCGCCGTCGCAGCCGTCCAAGACTCTGCGTTTGCGTGTCATTAGGTTCAGCTCTGAAATCCAGCGCGGAAAAGCTCGTCGTTCAGCGTTGCATGTCGTTCGCCTTCACTTCTTCGACTCAGGCGCCACCTCCTTGCTCTTGGGATCTGCCGCCTGTATCAAGAAAGTCAGCACAACAAATCTACAGTCCTCGGAACAGTATGCAAAGTCTCACCTTGGTTCCCTTCAACATCCCCTCGGGATCCCTAATCCCCATAACCTTACCCTCCTGCACTCTCTTCAGCGTCAACGCCGCGATCAAAGCAGCACCCACACCGGACCCATCCTCCGCAGGCAGAATCTCGACGGGATCGTGGCCCTTCCCAAGAGCCTTGCCATCACGTCCCTTATCCCAATCCAGAATCTCCTTCAGCGCCTGCGCACCCCGAGCCTTGAAGTGCGGGTACTTGTTAAACACCGATCCATCAGCGCCGACGTGGCAAGTCTTGTAGTTCTTCTTGAGACAAATAGCAGCAACGCCACACGCACCTACAAATCCAAAGTCAGCACTCGGTCCATCTCTGTTGAGATTCCGAAAGTAAGGCGCAAAGTCATCTCGACCAGCAATGGAGTGATACATACTAAGCCTGGCACTCCTCGTCCCAATCAACTCCGCCAACCTCCTAATCAGCTCAAGCTCAGGCTTCGTGCATTTGATCCCCAACGCCTTCTCAAACCTATCGTGCGTCTCGGACAGGTTCTCAAAAGGATCGTTCTCGATATCGCTCAAGAAACTCGCATCCAACGAATAAGGCTTCTTCAGACTGCTGACATCCTGGCCCTCAAAAATCTTGACGTGCGCGACTTCATGCAGATCCAACAACACCAGTCTGAAAAGCTCGCCGAGATAAAGACCCGCGACCATCTTTTCGAAAGACTGTTGACCGGGTCTTGGGCTGTCTTTGTCAATAATTATATCGTATTGAGTTCTCGGAAGAATTTTGTGCTCGTTGTCGAAAGCGCCCCATTCGCAGTTAATCGCTATCTCCTGGTTGGGATCGAGCTTCATATGTTCGAGTTTGGGGATGTCGCCTGAAACAAAGTCAGCACTTCACCGCACTAACTCCAAGACACGAATCCGTCGCCACCCAAAAGGATGCTGGGTAACGCACCACAATGCTCCATGTACGCCGCATTACACCCCGTGCCAAAGATACAGCCAATACGCATCTCCGAGTCGGTGTAGGCACTAGCTATCAGCGTCCCGGTGGTATCGTTTATGAGAGCCGTGAGTTTAATCGGTACACCCCTCTCCTCCAACGCGGCCTCAAAAGGCGGCACGACGTCTTTACCCTCCACACCATCAATATCAAACCCTTTCGTCCATCGCTGCAGCACACCATGATCGATGTAATCCTGTGTCGCCGGGTAGGAGAAAGTAAAGCCCAGGGGCAGTTTATCCAATTTCTCTCCCTCGTGGTGGTACTCGATGAATTGCTGCAGACAGTCCGCGATATAGCCCCAGAGTTCATCTGCTGTGCCTGTCTTCAACTCCTCGGGCATCCGGTATTTGGACTGGATGATATCGAACTCGCCCTTCTCTTCTGGCAGGTTGATCTCGCAGACGCGAAGGTTGGTGCCGCCCATGTCTAGGGCGAGGAAGGTGCCTGTTTCGTGGCCGGTGGGGAAGCCCATGCACCATGTTGGGTTCATGGGGATGGAGCCGCCTTCTTTTGAGAGACCCTTGGCGAGCTCGTCTTGGAAATGGGATGTGATGGCCTTTAGTTTTGCGGTGTCGACTGTGAAGAGGTCTTCCAGGCGTTTGATTTCTTGGAGGAGGTCTTTGGGGATGTCGGCCATGGAGCCTTTGCGGCTGGGCTGGCGGCGGGGTTGGGTGTGTCGAGTTGCCATGGTGGGTGGTTGAGGGAGGGGGTAGGGATGGCGGCGGAGGGAATGTGTGGTCGAGCTGGTGTATGGTTTCAAGAGGGAGTCGCGCGCTGCTGAGTCAGTGTTTTGGCACGATTACCAAAGGCAGGAGCTCAATGGCAGAAAGGAGGAAGCGCGAGAGTTGAGCCTCAAGAGTGAAATGTGTATGGTCTTGCGTCACAGCGGATCTCGTCGGCTTCGTGTTTGTTTGGGTCGAGTCAAAGTCTCAACCACCGAAACTGAAACCATTGACCCCACCATCACCCCTCTATGCTTGAGGTGTACTCGAGAGACGCGATTTGGGCTGTACTGTCTGCCAGCGCAGTCGCAACGTCTTGATGATTTGATACATCATGGAGGCATTCTATAGCAGAAGGTGATGGTACCAGAGTGCAGTCTCCAGGCTTGTATTCAACTTCATTCACTTCTCCAACGAAGCTACGTCACACAGACCAAAGCGGAAGGAACGCCGCGGCATGGTCCAAGCTTCACAGCAGCTTCCAACACCTCACCAAACACCAATCCAAACATCAACATAGCCACCCGCACAACCACAACACCTCAAACGACCCAACACAACACACGACCATGTCCCTCCGCATTCTCACCCGCGCGCTGCCCCGCACCACCACCTTCACCTCCACCCGCTCCTTCTCAGTAGCCACCCGCATGATGGCCGAAGGAGACACAGGCGCCACTCGATCGGGCGGATCAGCGCAGGGCGATGCTTTCCAGAAGCGCGAGCAGGCTTCCGAGAACGATTACGTGAGGCGGCAGGAGTTGGACAAGCTTGCGCAGTTGAAGCGGAAGATTGCTGGTATGTTTTAAGGCCCACAGGAGAGGAGGGGGTAGAGGGATGAAGGGATGAGGCGGACAACGGTGGTTGTGGATGTGTGAGGATGATTGCTGACGTGTTCTTGTGTGATACAGATCAGGAGGCAGCGCTGGCCAAGGACCGGGAGGAGGCGGAGAAGCTTTCGGGGCAGAAGTAAACGTGTGAAACGAGAGGAGAATACCGAGTCACAGACAGTGAGAACGAAAGCAGACAGAGTGGCTTGGAGAATTGAGAACCATAACTCTACCATCTGTCGAGAACACGGTTGAAGCATGGATAAGGGAAGTGTAACTGTATATAAGTCTACTGACGGTTCAAGCAAGGATCCACACTCATCCAACTCTTTGTCAATCTCCTCGGTTGATGAAGAAGAAGAGTACGTTGACGCAAAAGGATAAAAGAAATATTGGACGAGACCGGACCAGAACACTAACGAGATCTGGGAGACAAGACGATTGCCAGTCTCGTCCCCTGTTTACTTATCACAGACCTGCTATAGTTGTCCTAACATCTATCTCGCGTTCTGCGATTCCCCTGGTCCGGCTCATCCACGGCTACCCGCCTGCTCGTATATGAGTCGTTACGAAAAGTCGTCTGACATCAAAACACCAAGGGGGAGTGGTCTCAATGGTTAAGATACTGGGAGGCAACGTAACAGTCGGGCTACGGCCGTTCGCCAGCGGTTGGACTTGGCTTTGCCTCTCTAAACCCCGTGCGGGAATCTCGGTGATACTGGTTCGAATCCGGTCTCTTCCACAATTCCTTTTTTGCGTTTTACCACAGCTTTGACTTTTTACACCTCTCGGCACTGTCGGATCTCCGGGTGAGTGATGCACTGGAATACGTCACTAAGATGTGCAAGCTGGCAAACCGCCTTCCGGTCAGTGATGCTGATTCAGGACGGACCTCGAGCGTGATCAGGGATCTTTCCGCGTCCGTGGGTGTCCTTCGAAGGTCAAGATTGGTGGTGGAGCACTCGTTCGTCTCGCTCAACGGGTTGCAGGGGCGTGCCAAAAGAATCGAGTCCTTGGACGAGACGGACTTGAACCAGTATCACAGTGCCGGAACCCAGGAAGGCTAATACTTCCCAGGATCGAGCCCATTACTGGGCAACCGATGCTTACCGTCACGGTGCATAGTATTCGTATCCACTTGAGACCACTCGCCCCGAGAATGACTCAGTCACCAAACATGTCTATATACGCTGGACGAAGTCGCCGAGCTTGAGCCTTGTGAGTCACAGGAGAGTGCGGGAGCTCATCTGAATGACGGCCTGGTATGAGAAAGAAGAGGCTTGGGTTGGCAGCAACAGACCAGCTCGAGATGTGTAATGCCTGGACGACGGAGTCGAGCGATAGAGACCGGAGCATCGATAGTGCGAAGGTTTGCTTATGTTAACGATTCGATTGTTTTGCTTTCGAACGTCGCTGGGATGGGCATTCAAAGATACCGATGTGCTTTCCATATTCATCATTTCACTAACCCGTTTGTCGTTGGGGGCCGTGCTTTCAAAACGATCTTTTCTCTTGGGTTCACAAATGACCTACACTTATCCTGATTTTCAAATTCGGCAGCAAAGGTAGACAACATCACCATCGACTTCTCGATACCACAACCCAACATCACCACAACATTGGAACACCGAGCTGCCCTTGCTACAGCACAGCAGTTCACGATGATCGCAGATGAAGCAAAACCCCAAGTGAACGAGGCAACGGTTGTGAGTGAAGCATTGAAGCTGGCTAGCGGTCAGTGGCTAATCATGATATAGTCTCAAATATCGCCAGGTGCGCGAGTCTTCGGCACCACCGAATTACTCGAGCACATCCTACTTAATACGCCAGCAAGGGATGTACTGCTAGCTCAGCGAGTGTCACAACGGTGGCAAGCAGTTATCAAGTCGTCCCTGCACCTACAGAGACAGTTGCACTTCACCGCTGACGAGGCCATCGACCCGTTACAATGGGCAGTGCAAAATCTCCTCCCTCCATCCTCGGGAATACCTTGGTTCCAGGACGATGACGATGTCCTTTGCAAGGCCAACAACCAACAGCCACGTTGGGTTATCATGGAGCACATTGAGAGGCAGGCCGTGTGCTTTCACCTGGTCAAGCTGCTGGCAAAGGTGGTCAACGATGGCGAGCTCACTGTTCAGCAGAACAATATAGACCTTCACTTTGGCAGCTACGAGTTGAACGAGATCGCGAGAAGACCAGAGGCGTCATGGAGACGCATGCTACTTCGTAGTCCTCGCGTCGCAGGGAACGTCGTCATCACGGGCTTGACGGGCATTGGTGCATAGTGCAGTCTTGTCGGCAGCTAAAGTTTCAGAGCGAGACGGATACATCAAACTCGGCAGGCTTTGGGATGCTTCGGTCGAGGCGCGACGTATCAGCTATGAGGAGATCAGTCAATGGTGAGCGTTAAGGAGGTGGCGTGGTCGGCATGGCGTTGTTTCGAGTTGGTGGCGAGTTTGATCTTGATCTTGGTAAGTAAGATTGACACCATTGGATGTGTCAGTTCATGCACGTGCTTTCCAAGTTCGTCACCTTCTGCGTTTGTCTTCGTGGTCCATGCACTCAACACGATCTTTGCGCTAGTCCAGCATCCTACCTTTCACCTGCAGACTTCCAATTGGCAATCAGCAGCCGACATCACCACAACATCCAGATCTGCAGCGAGTATCGAGCTGCTCTGCTCGAGCATAAGAGTCCATGAAAATGGCAGCCGAAGCGACTGTGAGCGAGGAGCAAGTAGAGGTGAGCTTCGTGTTGAAAATACTCGGTGATGTGTTGCTAACTGGGATATGAAGTTGGCAAGCACACGAGTGTTTGCGACGACCGAGCTGCTTGAACATATCCTCATCTATGTGCCGGCGAGAGACGTGCTCCTTGCGCAGCGAGTGTCACATAGGTGGCAAGCAGTCGTCACGGAATCGCCATCCCTTCAGGAACTGCTGCTCTTCACTGGGGAGGTTATCGATCCTGCGGTTTGGATCACACAATGTCCTGCGGCATCGCACTCTGAGGATTCTTGCGTCTGGGACGGTCTCTTCGTCCGTTATATGGACGTTCCTCCTGGTCAGATGTTCGTACCTCCGGGCTTTCCCGAATGGCCAGATGTACTGAACACCGGGAGCATGGCGCATCTCCACGTCAAGGAGCCACTGGCGAGGCTGTTCGCTAAAAAGCCAGTCATGTTCGTGTGGCCGGGCGATGACCATGCCTCGCCTATCTCAGGCCCTCCGACCCAGCTTGCTCGTAAAGTTTTGCACGAATCTGCAACGAGGCCAGAAGCGTCGTGGAGACGCATGTTGCAACTCAACCCCCCCATCGTTGGCAACACTTCAGTGCCGAACACTACACCTGTCGCGATTTACGAAGGTCTGTATGCGCGCGCCATGTCGGCAACTGGAGAGAACGCGGACGGCTGCATCAGATTCGGACGACTGTACGACGCTGCAGTCGACGCGCAGCGAGAAACGGATGAAGCACGGTGTATCAGAAGAGAAGAGCGGCGACTGGAGGGCGGGTACTCCGAAGTCATCCTAAGCCAGGTTGATTACGCCAAGGCTCGGAATATATGATGGTGAATGGGCTCCTCGCAGATGGTCTTGAGCACGACGACGTGCGAGCGCCATGAAGTTGACTAGCAGAGGGAAGCGGTGCTACTGTGGCAAGCGTACAGCTTGTGCTGCTGGTGACGAGATTGCTAGGTAATGCAAAGTGGTATTGTACAATGATACAAGTGGTCGTGGTGGGCTCAGTCTATCTTGAGGGATCCATAGATCCGATGCACGAACAGCCAGCATGCAAAGAAGCCTATGGTACCTGTGCATCTCGTTAGTATCACTTCTCGCCGATGACATCGCTCAAACTTACCACTCATAACAAACCATAAGAAGCTCAACAGCGCCGAGTAGCTAAGATAGAGTAAGCCACCCGTGAAGCTGCTGAAGCTCAGCATCCTCGCCCAGTAAAGTAGGCTGTACGCGAACACATATCCCGCGCTCGCCCCACTGCTCGCGAATGCCCGCCACTGCCAGTGATAGTTCTCCGCGCACAGCAGGAAGTATATCATCAGGATCGTGACGGCCGCGGATGTAACGATCAGCAAGCCATAAGATAGGAACAGGAAGCCGAACATGTAGTATATCCGGTTGCTCCAGAGACTGCTCATGATGAAGTAGAGCTCGACGAAGATCGCGCCGAAGGGCAAGATACCTACGAGCAGCATACTCGGAAGAGGACGCAGGTATCCGGTCGAGGGAGGAATCTGGCGTGGGATTTGGTTCGTGCGAACTGGTGGCGGTGCTTGGGCTTGCTTGAAGCCGAGCCAGGAGCCGAGTATGCTGAGTGGGACCGTAATGACGAACCACATCCCCAGTATGACTAGCATGGTCGTGAAGGGTACGGCGCCGGAGGAGCCTCGAGCCCAGATGAAGAGGTTGAGGAGGAAGAAGACGCCGAAGACAAGGGCGGGAAGAGCAGCGGGTGTGAGGACGAAGAGTTGCTTCCATTTGGTGCCGCTGAAGTTCTTATACACCCGCGAGCTGGTGTACCCGCCGATGGAGCCGAGGAAGGTATAGAGGAGGATCATGACTGTCGCGAGACTACCGCGATTGCTTGGCGAGAGAAAGCCGACGACGGCAAAGGCGATGGTGCAGCCAGCCATCATGAACAATTGCGCGCCATTGCCGACGAGCACAGCAAGAGCCAGAGAGTGCCTTGGTGCTCGGAAGACATCGCCGTGGACTAGCTTCCAGCCGCTGTCTTCGACTACTCCATCCTCTTCGTTGCCGCCACTAAGGTCGTCGAGCCCTAGCTGATCAAGTCGGTTGTACCGCTTGATATCCTTCTTCAACGTGCGTATAAGGATCGTGCTGACCATGCCGATGAGGAAGAACACGATCACTGCGCTGTTCACAAGCGAGAACCAGTGGATCTTGGGGTCGTATACATGCAGGTACTTGTCCCACCGCGTCGCGAACGATGTCGCAGAGGGCCGCCAGTACACACTGTACGTCCAGGTCACATGCGTCGTGAGCTTCTCCTCAAGTACCATAGGCGCATCCGTGCCACAAGTTGCCGTAAAGTCATCACCAGTTCCCGTCCGCTTCGACTGTCCAAGCGAGGCCGGCTCCACCAAGATCCCCACTACGCGGTATTGATCCTTCCGCACCTGATGATAATCAATCACGATGTTATAGTGATTGTTCAGCTGCGGTTTCTCATCAACCATATTCCCCAACGCGAACCCAGGCTGGTAGAACTCGGTATTTGTGTTAGGATCCAAGTACCTCTGCGCAGCCGGCAGTCCGTCGATCAACCAGTTCATATTAAATCCCTGTGTAATTCTCCTATTGACAAACTTCGCGTCCCGTGGCTCGAACTCAACCTCGTCGCATACTGCCTGGCATCCTGTCACATTGACGCCCATCTGCAGCTGAAAGGGTGATGTTTTGATGCGATCTCCAAAGATAATGCTGCCCAGGGACTCGGATACGTCCTTCGCTCCGCCTTCGGGCTGGCAGAAGTGAAATGCATGGTGGTAGTAGTCGAAGCTGAAGACGGAGCGTATCTGGGCGTCTCGCGCGGATTGAGAGGGTGTGAGGTGGTTGACTGTGAGCGGCACTAGGTCGCCGATCTTGTAATTGGTCGGAGTGATGCCCGGTAGGTAGAAGGCGGAGGCGAGGTGGGAAGAGAGCACAAAAGCCAGCAGACTCGCAGGGAGCGAGCCAGGTCGCAACATAGTAG